GGGGGCGGTGTAGGGGCTTTGGTTTTTCCCCAGAAACCTACAAGAGTTATTTAATGGAAACAGGAGCAAATGAACAGGTATCATTCCTTGTGGGGTTAGAGAAGTACACAAAGACAAGCAGTCATTCCTGGCATGTGGTTGCAGTATTTCTACAGATCAAGCGATGTGCTTCCTTACCTCAGAAGAGAAACAACTTGATACTCATGAGTGTATTAACGGCGATACTTTTTGCCAGCAGGACTCTCAAACCCAGCACAGCCATAGACAGCATGTTCGCTTTCTCCACTTTGGTATCTGCTTAGTGATAGAGAAAAGATGGGAGAGATCATGGTCTAGATTTGAATATTGTGATATTGGCAGAAAGTGGAAAAAAACACAGGTAATGGTTTCAGGGAAAGAAACAGCAGCAAAGGAAAAGATGATAGAGAAACATGGCAACAACAGGGGAGGAAGATGTCTGTCTAGATTGGATTTTGCTTCCTGTTTCTTGACTGTTATTAAACAGACAAGCTACCTTGAAAAAGCACGTTGTGTTTGATGAATGTGTTGTATTCTGATTCCTCCACCCCTGAGAAAATACATTTCCATGCATTTATCCCCAACATAGTAATGTAACTTCACAATCTATTTAGGTAACTAACCTTGTGCAGAGGTGTCTGTGTTGTTGCAAACTTTCCCTTTTACTGGTTCTTCAGCCTCCTTTTCTGTAGCATGATAAAGAAAAGGCGTTATAAACTATATCCAAACTTTAAAAAGGATTAAACAAAATGTTCATATGATCCTTCCCACAGGAATATGTGGGCAGTACAGTCTGAGGCTCAGATGACCAGTCACTAATTCTAACATTAATTTGAGGAGAAAATTTCTCCATGCAATTGCAGGAAACAAAAGAATTCCTGAGTTGTTTTGGTTTTACTATTTGAATGAGCTTCATGATGACAGAAACAATCTCCCAAAATATAAAAAGTGGTTTAGGAAAAAAAAAAACGCACCACCACTTTAGCTTTTTGTTGTTTTTAGAAAGGCTATTTCAGGCTATGCTCTAGGAGGTTTGCTGCTATGTGGTGAAGTATTTAGTCGTAAGTAAATGTACATTTTAAAAAAAGATTGTCTTTTTTTTTCCCCAAAGAAAAGTAACTCCAAGTTGTTATACAATTAAGACCATTTATTTTAGATGCCTTTAAATATCTTTCAGCTGTCCCTGCTTAAGTACCAGATGTCTTTCCCATTTCTGCTGGTTACCCAGGGCAATGCTTACTAGCAGGAGAAATAGCAAGCACTAGAAGACGTTGCCTCCAGAAATAAGTTGCAGCTGTACCACAAAATTGTACCTGGCAATGTTGTGTTGGCTGTAATAGTGCTGCCGTTGAATTTGGCCGTGCAGGTCACCTCTGTGTCTTTTGTCACATTGACCACCTTAATAGTATTGTACAATCCCTCTGATGTCAAAATGGATGTACTCTGTTCATATACGACCTCATTAGAGGACATTGCCAAGCTGATGTTCTTTGTATAGAAATTCCTTGCCAAACAAACTGCTTTTCCAATGCTGCCATCTTCTTTCAGTTTCTTTGATTTCATCACAATGACTTCTGGGACAGAACTGTTTTGATTGTCTGTAAAAAAAAGCATTGTTTGGGCATGGTTTGATTTTATTGCAAGCTTGCCTGAGTGCTAAATCACCTGAAGTTCATATATACTCCAGCTGTGACTAAGTCCTAGCGTTATCAATGACTAACAGCTTTTTTTGTCATTATTTCTTGCTGCTGCTTCCAAAAGATCAGATCAAACACAGAAAGGGTGTATGAGAGTAGGTTTTTTATAGGAGTTTTAATTCCACAGGATTCTAAGCTTCCTTTTGCCAAAGCTCATGCTTATATGTAAATTTTTTTATTTTATAAGTAAGGGACCTGCAAATGAGAAGAGAACTTTTATGCATGCCACTCCAAGAGTCAAATTATTCTGCTTTCTCAACAATTTAATTCCTAAAAATAACACTTCTATCAAGGACGATCTTGCATATTCATGAGACATGAGGGAGTAACTGTTTTTCCTTTAATCTCCCTCCCCTCCCCCAAATCTTCTTCTGATGTGGCTAAAAGGTCTAACCATAGCAAAACTGGTAGGGCAAAGAGATGTCAGTTTGTTGCTTCACTGTTGTGCAAGGTTATTCCAATGAATGACATTACTTGCAGAGATGAGGTACTGCTGCTGGAGTTCGGGACAAGGTTGATCTTTTCAACAACAAATGCTCAGATGCAAGAAGGATTTTTGTCTCTAAGATGGAAAAGTAGGAGAGAAGCAATCAGAAGTCTGTGAATTGCATATCTCCACTTCTCCAGGAGTTTCTGATAAGGTCAAGAATTTTCAGTTGTAGGGGAGGTTTTCCCCACTAGACATTGCACATGGTGTAAGACATTCCAACCCAATCTGGAGACAATGAAAAGAGAATAGGATTGGTACTCAGTTGAACAACACTTCTTGTTCCAAAAAGTGTGACCTTTCTCATCCATGTGCTGTGTCATACTGTCAGTCCCACAGCTCCAGGGGCAGTTAGAAATATAATGCAGAATTTGTATAATAAACTGATTTGAAGGCAAGAACACCCTGAGGCCTATGAACTTGATGTCCATGGACAAATCTTCTTACAATCTTCCTTAGATTACTGTAATAACCTTCAGTAGTAGTTCTTCAGGGTCAAGATACTAACAAACATCAAGGCATGAAAAACGTGCCCTAGAACAGGAGTTTTGAAAGAACCTAAAAGATGCTGACAAGTTTTCACAGGATTTGGTATCTTTGCTCTCTCATGCATCTTTCAGAAGAGTTACTCTGAAACTTTCAGATGTATTTTTTCTGTTTTGAAATAATTTTAGAGTTGAATTCCCAATTCCAAGCAACATACATGAATGACAAAGGCTTGACAACTGCAAAAACCTGAATTTCAACTATATAGCAGCAGCCTTCTCTGAGAATTTTTTATAATACATACAAGTAATGAAGTAAGATTGCTTACACTTGAAGGGGATGTCTTTTCAACAAACAGTTGGTCTCAAAATAATTTGGTAGCCAACAAGTCATTATGATATAATGATTTTTTAAAAATAAAATATCTTTGCCTTCAGGTCATAGCTGGAGAAACTAGCATGTTTCCACATACCAATGTCAGAACAAGATTAGCAACATGAATTATACTAAAAACATGAAACTGAAGGGAATCATCTAGTATGCTTCCTTGCCAAAAAGGGCTCAGCTTAGGAAAGGCTATGAGACATATCAAAAAACAATTTACATGTCCAATGTGACAGGAGCATCCTGATGGGTCTCTTTGCTAAAGAGAGGTACATTAGGCCGTGAATTTTGCATGGCATCTGCCTTGCAGTCTGGTCAAGAGATTACTCGGGTCTAACATTTTGTTCATGACAGGGAATTTTTTCAAGTTCTG